ATCAATTTTTAAGTGAAGAGGCGATGGCTCGCCGTGTGCAATTTTGCCAAGAACTTTAAAATTTTTTTGAATCCCAGGAAATAAAGGCACAGATTATCATCTTCTCGGGCGAAGCACATTTCTACTCAGGTGGCTTAGTAAATAAGCAAAATTTTTGCTTTTGGGGGACTGGGTCACCTCACGTAATTGAAACCAAGTCCTCACACCCGAAAAAAGTCACTGCATAGGCGGCAATTACAATAAAAGTTATTTTCCTTGAATTTATTGTGAGTTCGACAATCAGTGCTGATATTTACTGTGAGTTCTTGAAGAAGAACTTCTTTCCTTGGGCACGAAAAAATCAGTTAGTCAAGAATTTCTACTTCATGCAAGATGGTGCCGCCCCACACAGGACTGCTGGAGTATTTGAAATACTTTTTTCCGTTTACGGCGCTCGTGTGTTAGGCTTAGGTTACCCTAAGTATGCCCATAGGGGCATAGAATGGCCGCCTTACAGTCCGGACTTAAATCCCTGCGATTTTTGCCTATGGGGTTTTCTCAAGGACAAATGCTATGAGAAGCATCTGACGATTGTGGGAGAGTTGCAAGACGTAATTAGGGATGCTATCCGAGCTGTTGATAAAAACACAATACAGCGCATCTATACCAGTTTCGAACGCAGGATAGAGCTCTGTAGTACAAGTGATGGCGGACACTTGGAAGGAATTGTATTGTAATTTGCCGAATGTTCCTTGTACAATAAAAAAAGAACAAATATTTACATTTTACTGTATCCAAGTTATTTGCAATTTACTTTGGTCACATGCTATGGGACATCCTGTACGTCCATTCCGATACGAAAGTAATCAGATGAACACTAATAATGACTGCACACGAATTACTGGTGCAGAAACAACAGTCTCTCGAATATTCCCTTTAGAGACTGTGATGTCTCGGCCATTGCCTTATATCGGCATGGTGTTATAATGACACCATGCGAATGAGCCCAGTGGAAACTGCTGATGCCGTTTTACTAGCTTACTTTTATTGCGAATATACCTGTCTTTTCATGCATATATATCCCGATTTTTATTTATGTCTCAATTTTACGTTTCAATTCTTAAATTTGTGCCACTTATGTTTGCCCATATTTCAGAACAAATTGGGAATTATGCTCCACTTTTTGGGGTATAACACATTGGAATGTGTTCCAATGTGAAGGACGTGCGTACTGTTACTGCAGTATGCGGACAAGCGTTGTCCTATAAAACTGTAGCTGTCCTATAGGAATCGGAGATACTATTTTGGATCGCAGGACATCGGCAATTTACTGTAACGAATCTTTAATTTTTCCAATTATATTCTATTATTTATGCATTCTTTTCTTTTCCTCCGAACCTCTCCTATGAAGTTTGCGTCACTCAGTTGTTTCCATTCATTCCTTTGATTCCGATTTGACACCTCCTGGTATTTTATAGTCGCCTCATTTTAATTAATAACTAGTATTTATTCAAACCTGAGTGCTCTCCAATACTAAACACTTGTTACAGTGCTGTGGATGCATAGAATATAAGAGCGTCCACCATATGATATAGCTCATCAAACTAATATATTATTTGCGTGGGGGTGGCAAAGGAGGGCAATTGAATCCACCGTTCTTGAAGACGTTTTCCCTATCTGCATCATACCAAGATGTGCGCATGGCCGGGTTTAAAACAGAATCGAGTTTTATCGGAGAAGACCATATGACGCCATTCTAGTCTCTGAAACCATGGTTGACATTGCTACGGTATCACAGGCATATTCTCTGCAAGGTAAGACTATCCCCCTCACCCCTCTCTCGGGAAGAAGAAATACAGCCGTCCACATGAAATAGAAGAATGAGCAGCCCAGAGAAGGATGGAGGTGGCAATGGATGACGCTCCCCGCTTCCGCAGTCTCAAAATGTCCGAATAAGAGGGCCCAGAAAGGCGAAAGGAGAAAAAAGGAGACACGTTTCCCTTGACGCTCTGACAGTCCCGGTCTTGGCGCGTACTGGGCGTTACAAGTTAGGATATAATTAAAGTCCTTGTAAATAAAGCCCCTGGAGCAGGAGGCTTCGTCTCAGGAGTTATCTGAAGTTTTGGCTGCGTTATTGACTGTCGATAGGAGCACCGAAGAGGAATGGTGTTTTCGTTGTTTATTAATCATTTCCATTGGAAACTTGGCCAGAGCGCTGTGTTCTTCGTTATTTTTGGCGATTACTGTGAGTACCAGTTACCTTCCCTCCTTCTCATGTTATAATTTGCCTACATATTACCTCTAATGGTAAGCCCATAACCATTTTGCCCACTGTTGTTATTAATTTAGAATTCTATGATAATTGAGTCGACACAGGAACCCCAGACCCGATCTAGCTTCTCCTCTTGTTGGAATACTAGTAGAGTCATTCCCATTTTTAGCGTATACAACAAGTAGCCTAGCATTAACCACTGCCTTAGATCGTTATTAAAAGGCAATCAAGAATTATTACAATTGTTTATACGCCGAATATTTGGAAACATGAGTCCTATTCCATTTATCCCTCACTGTCCCTTTTATTGAGTTACCATTATACTATTTCAGGCCCTAGGATGCGATTAAAATAATCTCAGGTTGTAACAGATACTTCTCTCTCTATTAAGCCTACACCAACAACCTATCTTTTTCCTGAGTCGTACGACGGGGGTGACCAGGACGTGGCTGAGCAGGCGAGCATTCTTCGTGAACCGGATCCGTGGAGTGAATAGTGCGGTGATGATGCCTTGTACGACGTTCAATTAATTCCATGAGAATGTGTAATGGTGTATATACGTTTCATAAATAACTGTTCAATGCTCGAGCAAATCGTTTTCGCAATATTCATCTGACTGTCATAATTCACCTTGACGCTCATCATGTCCTAATTGAATACTGCGCAGAGATAAGTAATTTGTATAGATATTTTCCCAGGTTGTTCACCCAGGAAAAATCCAAAGTACTTTTTAGCTTTCTCTATCGCACATTGGAGGCCAGCCGAACCTTTACGGAACATTCGATGAAAACCGGCCTCTTCGGCAATGTCGTCTACTCAGAGGACTTTTGTGGCTGGAGAATGGATTGTCCAGCTAACATCAGTGTGACACGGTAGTGGACACGAGGTCCACCAGGAGTATTCCCATCACATCGTCGCGAGCCTCCATTTCAGGCCATGTATTAGGCCTTGCGGCCTAATTATCCTGGTGAATTTAATTCACATCTGTTCTGGGGGATCTTTAGATTCATCCGCATGCTTTCTCCTCCCGAGTATTTCGATTCGGAAGAGTGTCAGAGTTATTTGCGAATCAGTCGGGACTCCTTAGAGCCTGGGACATTGAGAGGCTGATCCAACCAAAGCGGAACTATGCTACTCGCTTTATGAGCACCCACACTCTCAACTACCAGTTACCGCTTCGGTTATCGCGAGTCACCGTCTCCGGTTAGTACTAAAATCTCGGCGTATGGTCGGGCTGACTGGAGGATTACTCTACTCAAAGTCCACGGGTCCATACGCTTCCGAATGGATAATGCCGGACACAACAAAGTTGTCACTTGGGGTCCCGAAATAACTCCCTTTTCATTCGTGGGGAATGCAAGAGCATTCCCCTACGTTTGCTACCAACAGTTATGCATCTGGTAACGCTGGGCTACGCCCTCTGTCCTTGGCCATATTTCAAGCCAACATTACAAATTACTCTGAAGAAGTTTTTTCGACCTCTCCGTTCAAGCGTCCGCATTCGACTCACTCGGAATCTTACTAGAGCCTTCTCCCCCTAGTCTGGATATCTCGGCAACGTTAGATCATTCCGTTACCCTGTCCCCACCAATCATCCCGATGGTATCTCGGGGGCACCAGTCCTCTCACCTAGCCGTTGGTCCCTTCTCTATCCCGAGTCTACCCCCAGTTGGACAGCCTGTACGTCGGCCCATTTCCCCTAACAGAAGCGGGGTGAATTCTAAAATAGCGAAAGTTTAGTACCGTCCTCCAGACTTCCAGGGGTCGCGGTTTCACCCAAAACGGCTATGCCTTCAGCCTTTCATCGATCTGTGAATCATCTCATCTAGTCTCGGCTCCTTCAGCCGCCTCTAGATATCTCTTCCAGTCTCTCTTTATAATAATTTGAAGAGTTCTACTATCTATTTAAGGGTATTTCAGCCCGCAACGAGAAAATCTCATTACAAATTTCAATCGTTAAGGATGTACATGATGACTCTTCGTATATAGTGCATACTTTCGGTCGACAGTGTATTACGAATGGCAAAATTATGTGGAAGAAACTAGTCGTGGAAACTAGTCGTGAGTTTCTGGCAGAGACTCACTTTCTGCCACAACTCAAACTTCTAACAAAAAACAGTGGCATTACATCAAGTTTTTTGCTATCTAGTATTGATGAATCATCCACTTACATCCCTTAGTATATGGAAAACACAATTTGAAAAGTATCAGTTCACTTACACCCAGTTTTTGCATAATAAAGATGGGAGTACGGCATCTCATTGGAACGCGAAATACTATTCATTCCCCGAATCCATTTCCAAATGAGGGAACTCAAGGAGACCTTAGTCCTTCTGTTATCTTCTATTTATTTATTCTACGATGGAAGTGAGGTGAGTGGGAGAAACTAGGTTTATATGGGTGGTAGGAAGTGCATCTGATGCTGGTAACTACTGCAGAATCAGAGTCCTTTATATTCTATAACGGCAATATCCTTCAATAAACAGAAAGACAAGTGCTGATCTGGGTCTTCAAACAATTGCTTTTTTTTGCTTAACTTGAATTGATCCTCACATTCGACAGAAGAACTAAAATACAGAAACCATAGGAAAAAAATCAAATTACGAATTTCCCTTTGATATATTTCAAATTTCAAAGGAGTAATATCTATCGAAGCCCATATGTATCTCAATTCCGTATAACGGCAGAAATTGGTTCCGCGACGGTATTCTACTCGGTCGATAGATTACAAATTAACATTTTCTCTTACCCGAGCAGCTGCATTCACACCAGCCACGAGTCCTTGTGCCGCAGCTTCTTCGTACCCAGTTGTTCCATTGATCTGACCAGCTAAGAAAAGTCCCGAGATTCTCTTGGTCTCTAACTGATATGTTAATTCACGGGGATCAATGAAATCATATTCGACCCCATATCCGGGTCTTGCCACTTCCGCATTTTCCAACCCTGGTATGCAGTTCACAAGTTCTTGTTGTTTGTCAGCTGGTAACGTACAGGATAGACCACCAGGATAGATTAGTTCTGAATTCAAACCCTCTGGTTCTAGCCAAATTTGATGAGTGCGTCTTCCAAACTTCAGAACTTTACTTTCAATGCTCGGACAATACCTATGAAGATTATTTTTGTTATTTCGCTACTTCCTGTTTGTTGAATGAATAACAATTTTTTTTCATTTTCATAAAAGGATATTACCGGGGACCCATAACTTCCTCCATCACGTGAGTATTACAATGTAAATTATCTCTTATGATCATCGCAACTGCTTCGTTTGTAAAAGTCATATAACAATCCAATTGATCCTTTGGATCGATCCAAACTCGGTCATTCAGAAATGAAAATGGCTCCGGAACACTATCTGGATGCTGGGGATTACATTTAGAGAAATTTACAGATGATTTTCTCAGCCGTGGCGGAGTTCCGGTCTTCAATCGCGACATTCTAAAATCCAATTTTTTCAGGGTATCCGCTAAACCTATACTCGGCTCATCGCCCATCCTTCCAGCTGGATATTTCTCTAGACCGATGTTAATTTGTCCTTTTAAAAACGTTCCAGTAGTTATCACAACGGTTTCACTGTAGATTGATATTTCGTTTTCTATAAATGAAATGATAATGCGCATTATATAATCAGTCTATCGGAAAACTCTCCTATTGAGAGCAAAATAATCAAATAGAAATTGCATATTTACTCAACATGATGCCACAACATTTCCCAGTTTCCAAATTGAGGATAAGATCTTCCACTGCAGCCTCCTGAATCGTTAGGCCTGGTAAACGGAAGAGTTCCCTCTGCAGATTAGTCTTGTACAAATCTCGATCGATTTGAGCTCGAAGTCCCCAAACTGCGGGTCCTTTTCGTTTGTTAAGAATTTTATAGTGGAGTCCGGATAGATCACATATCCGTCCACAAATACCATCGAGTGCATCTACCTCTCGAATCAAATGACCCTTGCCAATTCCACCGAATGATGGATTACAAGACATTTCGCCTGTGGATTATTAGAATTACCGTTAAGGCCCGAGTGTAATAATTTTTACCCCTCTTTTCTCCTCCACCGCCCCATCTTTCTCTATCCCCACCCCCTTCAGCATGTTCCCCCTTAGGGGAAAAGTCAATTCACGGGACCCCTAATTGTGGGGATAAAAAATGATTAAAAAATATATGCACATAAATGAACGGTTATGACCTCCGGGAGGTCGGTAATTGGGTCGAAAAGGGGTGAGAACCGTAATTAATGCATAATTCTCGGATGAAATTTTTTACTAAATCCTCTGTTTTGATACCCAACGCAACACAAAAATGGCGGTCAAATCACTCGCGTAAAAAACTACCAATTATACTTTCTACAAGCACTTCACCATAACCGGACCTAATTACTGCCCTCTGAACTATGATTTCACATTTTTCAAGTATTTTTTCATCTATATTATCCATATAATATGGCCACAATTGTGGTTGCCTTGAATGAACTGATCACCTTTCTGGTGGGGTTTTACTCTCAGCGACTTATGGCGTAATCCGTCCCGCTAGAGCTGAAAAAGGCTGGTAATTTCAAATCGCATAATCCAATTAAATAAAGTTTTAGTATTTACTATACGTGAAACCATAAAATATGTGAATGAAGGGAAAATGTGACATAACAAAGCTTGGCTACCTTTGTGATGAGGGCTCGGTTCATGAACTACTTGGATAAAATACTGTTTGTTGCGACACTGAGAAAGGGGTGAGGATAGAGAAAGAGGAGGTGGGGGAGGGGAAAAAGAGGGGTCATAATTATTACACCCGAGCCTCAATGTACCAGTTATTGACACAGCAAAAATCCTGGACCCTGAGCCATTGGTGTTGCCTCTACCAATTTTTGATTCCATAGCGTATATATTCTTAATCTTTACATAAGGAGTCCTTTTCTTCACATTTAATTGTGCGCTGCAACCAGATGGTCAAAGCGCGCAATTAGATGGTCCATCCAACATTCGCCGATTTTTTTTTACATACCTATTTTCACCCAATAAAAATCGTCCAGAATCATGTCAAAAAGTGGCTTCGCGCGCCAGCTAGACGGCATAATACGGATACTGATACTTGCATCAGTTGTCTAATTTCAGATTCGACGACCCTTCACAGCAAAAACGTATCTCAATCATCTTCAGAATTCAAGTATCTCAATTTGAAATGCAGAATCCGTGTATCTCGGTAAGAATTAGAAAAGAAGTAACCTATAGTATTCTGCTCAAACTAATGTTAATCATAGTCTCGCGAGTTACTTCTTTTTGTTCAGTTTGGCGTTTTTTTTTTCGAAATTTTGGACATTTTTATTGAAAAAAGATCTTACGTATTTTCCGCATAAAACCTACCAGATATTCGTGAAAAATTGAATAATTTTCAAGGCAAATCCAGAATATAAGTGTTTGGCTACCGGAAAAAACAGCCGAATAAAAAATGACCTCAGAATAAATTACTACGGAAAAAATAGCAGACGGAAAAAATAGCCGACGGAAAAATGACCGATGAAAAAATGACTTTTGAAAAAATAGCCTCAGAAAAAAATAACTCCGGAAAAAATGACAAAAAAATGAAATCCTTGTAACCCTGTGACCAATGTTCTTCCTTTCTTGTGACCCTTTGTAACCCTTGTGACCTTTGTTCGTCCTTTTTTGTAATCCCATGCAACCCTGTGCCTGTCATTCTTCCTTTTTTGTGACCCTTTTTAACTTCCCGATCTATCGGGTAGTTATTGTAATCACCCTGAAAATGAATCATTAGTTTTTTTCAATTTCTCCACGCTTCTCGGTGTCTAAAACACTTCTGAACACTTCTAAACAACATGTCTGTATGTGTGTTTTTTTTTTTTTTCTCGAGGCCGTGAGGAAGGTACCTAACCGCCCGATAGTATGACAGTACTGTGGTTACTGTCATACCCTGTGTGGGGCCTGCACCCACTAAACCTCCTGGCCCCGTGAGGACCAGATAGAGAAAGAAAATTTCTCAACCACAGATTCCCTCGCGGAACCACCGTAAAGTATTACTTCGCGAGGGAAGGCATTAGCCGCTGGCTTTTCTTCAATTTCACCTACAGTACGTCCCCCCTTCCTACTAAGATATTGTGCGTAGGTGGGAGGTTCCCATAGGTGTTCCTTCATAATGCGACCTTGCGTTCGTGTTCCTCTCTCCTGAGCTCCTTCATGACTGCTGCCGCGAAGTCGCTCGTTGCGTTCCATGCTGCTTGCGATGACAGCATCTCATCCATCAAGGTTTCGGGTGACATCCTCCTTTCAAGTACAGCCTCCCAATCGCTTCGCATGTCGTTGAAACGAGGACATGAGAAGAACACATGTTCCGCATCTTCGTCGACCGCTCCGCAGGTGGGGCATTCCGGGGAATCCTCATATTTGAATCTATGAAGATACGCTCGGAAGCACCCATGTCCTGAAAACATCTGGCAGAGATAGTAGTTGACCTCGCCATGAGCTCGGCTCAACCAGATATCAACCTTGGGGATCAGACGATGTGTCCATCGCCCCTTGGTAGAGTTATCCCATGCCTGCTGCCAACGTGAGATGCTGTTTCGCCGCTCCTCTGTTGCCAGTTCTTCGGGACTCAGCGTTTCCGTCTTTCTTCGGTGATACAGAAATCTGCGCTCCTCAGCTAGCACCTCTATGGGCAGCATCCCTGCGATTACACACACAGCGTCTTCAGACACTGTCCTGTATGCGCTCGCGACTCTCAGGGCACTCTCAGTGTGTGTGTGTGTGTGTGTGTGTGTGTGTGTGTGTGTGTGTGTGTGTGTGTGTGTGTGTGTGTGTGTATGTAGGTCTGTATGTTACGGAATTTTTGTTAACGATTTCTTCCGAATGAATCGCCCGATCAAGATGATGGATAACGCAATCGAAAGGTCTTCATGTAACTTAGACCTGATTAGATTTTGGAGTGATTCGCTCCAGTGGTTCTTCCAAAATTTCCTGGAGCAAAGTTTGAAAATGGCTAAGTATTTCTCCTGTATAAATGACGTGATTGGGATTGTCAACATCAGGATATCACTAGAGTCAATCAGTCCAGTAATTTCTCCAGGATTTGTTGAAACTCCAGTGGTTTTTCCAATGGTTTCTCCAAAATTTCCTGGAGAAAAGTTTGAAAATCGCTCAGACAAGGGTTTCTCATGCATAAATAATATGATTGCAATTATTTACATCAGAATATCGCTGGAGTCAATCGCTCCAGTGGGTTTTTCAAAATTTCCTGGAGAAAAGTTTGAAAATCGCTCAGACAAGGGTTTCTCATGCATAAATAATATGATTGCAATTATTTACATCAGAATATCGCTGGAGTCAATCGCTCCAGTGGGTTTTTCAAAATTTCCTGGAGAAAAGTTTGAAAATCGCTCAGACAAGGGTTTCTCATGCATAAATAATATGATTGCAATTATTTACATCAGAATATCGCTGGAGTCAATCGCTCCAGTGGGTTTTTCAAAATTTCCTGGAGAAAAATTTTAAAATTGCAAAGATAAGGATTTTTCATGTATAAATGATGTGATTTAGATTATCGATATCAGAATATGACTGGAATGTACCACTCCAGTAATTTTTCTAAAATATCCATGAGGTCATTATGTGGTTATAATAGTATACTACAATTATTGAGGGAAAATCGTCTGAATAGGACATTAGAGGTAATACAATGTAGGACGCTGTACGCATTTGAACGTCACATTTGAAGCCCAGATTTTTCGGAAAACATCCCCGATTTAAAAAAACGCATCCAAGCAAACATGTTCAGATTGAAGAGAGATAGATTCCTCATTTCATCTATTTTCTCCCGCGCGCCTTCTTGCCGTGAGATCACCTATCCAACTGGCGTTGGATAATGATTATTTTCTTAATCTCGACACTTCTGTAGCTGTCGATAAACTAGGAAATTCAATTACCAATGAAAATTGACTATGAATCCACGTACTGGGCATATCATGAAATCGAGAGAACGACTAATGACTCATGCAAGAGAGATGGGGAATAACCTTCTATTTTCTTTTCCCCCTCTCTTCCTGTGTTTCGTTTATCCATCACAACACAGTCCTCAATCTAACCGTCGGATGTCTTTGACACATTCAATATTTGATCAGTCAGCTGTGAACCGTTTACCTTTCAGGACCGTTTTCATGGTCATCTTTACAATTTTTGTACACAGGAAAGTGATAGAAATTGTCGAGCGAGAGAGAATTGTCTGCCGAAGGCGACCAAAACATCGTAGAAAATCCTAAAATATGATCGCAGTTTGAGTAACAGAAGAAAAATAGCTATTCAATCGAAGCGACAAAGAATTGTTGAATCTCAACAATTGTCTGCTGAAGGCGATAGAAAAGTGTTGAGAATAACAATTATTTACCAAAGGCGACAGAATATTTTGGAACAGAATAATAGTCTGCACTGAGTGATAGAGAGTTGCTCCTAATTCGAAAACAATATATTACCCACAATTCATAAGGATACATTCTTAGAAAAATAAACAGAGTATTGAGAGTTGAAAAGGATTCTTTTATTCAAAATGGGAGGAATAATAATATCGGGAAGTTGTTGGTGCGACCCGTCTGACTGGTCAGATCCACATGAATATATCCGCTACCAACCCACCTGCAATGGGAGCAAGCGCAGCGAGCGACCAACAGCCCAATCCACTAGTTATAATTTCTTTTTCCATAAATGATGTCTATTAATTACAATTGCAATCGAAAAATTCATTCTAAATAGCCAGAACGAACAATTTTGAATATATCCACTGATTATTACATTAGAAAGCTCAATGCACTAATTTTTTTCACATTTTTTTCCCTTATTACAGGAAAGAGGATTAATTGATGCTCTCCAGCGCCTGCACCCTAAAGTTTCTACGTAAGTGTCTACAGCGTTTGTGTTAAAAATCATAATGAAAATGACAAAAGAGCACTACTACATGGATCACAAGAGAATCGTCTGAAAGAATTCGGATCTCGTT